TTTTTTTTTTTTTTTTTTTAAGGAGGAGTTGGAAAATGGGAAAAGATAAGGGGGGTCTAGTTGATTGCAAAGAGACTGTTTTAAGACAGAAACCTGAATTTAATTGGCCAGTTAATGCTGAGAGACCAGATATATGGAAACTTTCCCAAACTCTCCACAGCACCTGGAGGCCTTGCTGAGCATGAGCACATGGGGTCAGTCCCATCCACCTGGGCACTTCTCTCAGTTGCTCTACTATCCCATTGAAGAGCCGTGTTTAACAGGATACTGTGCTGAACTTGGACTTCTCTCTGAGGACTGTGCAGTCCTTCCAGGCCACACCCAGGGAAGCAGAAACAAACCTTTGTTACAAGACTCCCGAGCTTCCTGCTTGCCCCAGCCCAAGATAGGAGGGCCCCTTCATTCTCTTCTCCATGAGTCTGGTGGGAATTTCTTTAAGTGATAACCTCCATCCTTTCTACACTAGCAATTACAGGAAAGTCTATGATTCGAGGCCTTCCGGCTGGTTCTCACTGTCTAAATGGAAGCTTTTGGAACAAAGAAAATTCTCAATCAAGTCTTTCAGAACTGCTATTTGCTATGGGTTTAAAAAGAAATGGAACTTGAGACTCAAAATTGAATAAGAATGCTCTTGGGTGGAGTTCCCCAGAAGCAGCATCTGAAATGGGGGTTCTAGTCCATGTAGTTATTACCAGAGTATCTCTCAAGGTAGAGAGTGCAAGAAGCAGGATGGGGCTGGGGGGCGGGGGAAGCTGAGCAAAGTTATGGCCTCATCTGGAGTCTAGCTCTGCCTGATTCTACCGGGAAGCTATGAATTGTCCCACAGAGTGGGACCAATTAGAGGGACCCAGGCAGGTTTGTTGCATTCCTGAACCAGGCGATCGATCAATGGTTAGGAGTAGGGGTTGCAAAACCTCTTAGAGGCAAGATAGGTGTATGTGGTCAAGGGCTGTTGCCTGAAGCAGGCGGCAGCTGTTAGCCAACGCAGCGTTGTAAAGAGATCTGGGTGGGGCACTATAGATGCCTTTGCACTGAAAAGATAGTTCTTCACTTGTAGTCCCAGCGGTATCAGCATTGCCTAGCAACCTGTGAGCAATGTAGATACTTAGGCCCTACTTCAGACTCACTGAATCGGAAATTCTGGGCATGGGGCCCAAGAGTGTGTGATTTAACCAACTGCCCAGTATTGCTGATATATGCTCAAATTTGAGAATCTTGGTTCTAAATGGTATTGCTTTTCCTCTGAAGTATCAGATATCACTGATTCCATGGGGAGGAGCTGCAGAATACATTATCTTAATTCTCAAAATATTATCTTCTGTAATATCAAGCATCAAAAATTCACTCCCAGTCCAGTGTTCTGACCATATGACTTAGACTTAAGGAAAGCAAGTACTATCAAAGTGGAATGCTTTCATAGCTATCAAGTGTGCTGGAAAAATAAGGTTAGGACAGGATATTGATTTTTCAACATTTGAATACATAGTGCTTAGTCAGGGCCTCTCACCTTTGGATCATCAGATTCCCTCCTTTGATTTATGATACCCAATTAGCCAATTCTTCTGGTCCTTGTAACCAAGACCCCTCCAATCTTTTCACCTGCCAGAAATGTGCAGCCCACTTGATTTCTGACCAAATTATCTGCCATTCTTCCTAAAATTTCTTTAGCCTCTTTGCTAATTTGATCCTTAGAGCAACAACTATTCTTCAGAAGTATCCAAAGAAAACACTGACTAGACCTAATTGTTGCTCTATCCTTGAAGAAAATAGAGAATCATTAAAATTAGAAAATTATCAAGTTTCAAATGTCAACACAACTTCTATATTTTTTTACTTAACAAACATTCTCAATAAAACACTCTATTTCTCAATATTATTTATACTTTTCCTAGGGAGGTTGAATGCTCCAAAATATAACTCCTGCTAACTCAGCTCAGGAACTGAGAAAATAAGAGAAATCAGCTCTCCGAATTGAAAAGAAAACTCTGTATCATCTCTCATTAGTAAAAATCATATGATGTCGAAGATGTTTATTCTTCTTTATCTCTCCAATGCTAGTTCATCATCTAATCAAACTCTTAGGGAGAATTCATGATATAATTACATTCTCTACTCACAAAATGACCTCAAGTACAACAGCACTCAGCGCATCACTATCACTAATTCAATAATTTAAAATGTGTTCTTTAAACTTTCAAAATGTAATTTGGAAAAACAATATTCCCATAAAATTCCTTCTAAAACCTAGGTTAAACACTGAAGCATGAGAGATTTCTAAGAACATGATTTCAGGGGGTCCAGAATCCCTTCTAAGGAGGAAGAAATTGGATTCTTTAAACTTCTAAATGTCCATAGTAACTTTTCTGGAGGAACAAAATTCACTTTTATTTAGCCATATTATTGGGAAATGTATTAAAAAGAAGATGTTTTATGGGAAATACAAGTTCAGTTGGAATGTTTTAAGCATTCATGATTTGTGAGTACAGTTATTCATGTTTCCTCTTCCAATGCAAATAATTTCAATAAGATATTTATCATCGTATTTGTCTATTATAATTAGCTTCTGAACCAAACATTTTAAAGTTTTATTCATCAACCACATAGCTAAATGGCTTTTGTTTTATCTGAAAATTTGCCGCAGGGATTTTTCGAATGTACATCTTAATGTTCTGTCTTCCCCTTTACTATTGAATGTTTGAAAATATATCATTGTGAACAAAATTATTTGATTAGGCTTCAACAATACATGCATTTTTCTTAATGGTGTAATAGAAGGATTCTCATTAACCTTGAATTCTATAGTCCCTATATTAGTTCTTTCAGTTACATGGAAACTAATTTATCTTTTTAATTAACTGTGGTTTGTTTTTCCTTCCTTAGAGCTAAACTTCTAGATTATAAAGTGGCTCTGAACTTGACCAAGTATCTCAATACGGAAAATGACTTTTTACCATGGCAGAGAGTCATTTCAGCTGTAACCTATATCATTAGCATGTTTGAAGATGATAAAGAGCTATACCCTGTGATTGAGGTGATGTTAATGGTTTATCTTGTGAAAGTAAATGCTTAGTCATTAGCAGAATAGGAAAATTTCTGAGAGGAGGAGCTCCTGGGAGACAAAAACATAGCTTCCTTGCCAAGTGAAATCAAAGGAAAGTACAATGACTTGACTAGTCAAAGCAAAGAGATGCTATTTATTTTTTCAACTTGAAATGTATCAGTATTTCTGGTTCAGTATACCTCTTTAAGATATATTTTAGTGTTACAAGGGATACAATAATTAATATTTCATTTAAAATAGGCAACATTTTAAATTGTATATACTAGCTAGGTCCTATTTTTAATGGATTCATCTAGGTCAAAATGAATTTATTCTTCCCAAAATATAACTGCTGTTATTTCCACATTGAGATTTTATTATGAGGTAGCCATTTTAAATACTTTGTGATTTCTGTAACACTTTGGCAAGACACTTGTAATTTTACACAAATTCTAAATTCGAATCTCTGGCTCTTCCACTTAGTAAATGAAAGACTTTGGACAAATGGTTTAATATCTTTGAGTCTTAATTTTCTTTGTACAATAAGAATGTCAGCACTTGGCTGCCTATGGTAATGGGATAGTTAAGATTTTATAATATAAATGTCCTTTGTAAATCCAAAAGCAATACACAAATACTGAGATAATGTCATTATTACTATTTCATCAATACTTGAGCAAGTATGTCGAGTGTTATTCTATTTGTTACAAATGTTAAGTGAAAAGCAGAAGCTAAAAGAGGTTTACCCAACATTGTATAAAACACCAGAGAATGTTCAGGATGTTCTTATCTTCAGGACTAAAGCAATATTACAATGTGATCATAACTGAATCTATCCCTTTCCTAATGACAGGCCCACAGTTTTCTGAACTAGGAAGAAAAAAGGTTATAACCAGGGGGCTGCAGATGATAATACTTGAAAGATTGTTGACAAATAATGAATTATTACTCATTGTATGTGGTGCTTTTATTTCAGGAGTACTTCCGAGGTCAAGTGAAGCCGGTTGCAGACTCTCTGTCATGGAATGATTCTGGAGACCACCTCACAAAGTGACTTTTTACATTTTTAAAACTAATATCCATTCAATGTCTGTTTGTGTGTTTTAAAATGTGTTGAAAAATGCTTACGGCCCTGCTTTGCATGTGTTTGTTTTCTAAGGTTACTCCGTGCCTCTGTGTTGGGGTTTGCCTGCAAGATGGGAGACAGCGAAGCCTTGGGCAATGCTTCCCAGTTATTTCAGCTGTGGCTCACCGGGAACGTAAGGTAACTGCTCACCATGTGTTCATTTCTAGAAGACTTTAAACTGTGAAACAAAAAATGAAGATCTCTGAAACACTGTTTATTCTTCTAGGATTCCTGTAAATCTCAGACTTCTGGTGTATCGGTATGGAATGCAGAATTCTGGCAATGAGACTTCATGGAACTACACTCTTAGTCAATATCAGAAAACTTCATTAGCTCAAGAAAAAGAAAAGCTGCTGTACGCATTAGCCTCAGTCAAGAATATTACTCTTTTGTCAAGGTAAATTGGAGCTTTTCTTTTTTTACTTCTTTGAATGGTATTTGCTGGGTTATGCGTCACAGTCTCTTATAGATGGCATTAAAGTAGGATATGTTTCCAAGAAGATCTATGAAAAATGCTTTTCCCTGCAAGAAACAGACTATCTATGTAGTAGCGGCTTACACAGTAAAGAAATGTAATCTCATATGAAAAAATTCTCGAGGAAGATAGTTTTCAGTTGTGTGCGGTGGTTCAGTGTTTTCATTGAGGATCTAGGTTCTTTCTCTTTCTGTTTTGTCATCCTCAACGTGTTGGGTGTCTCATGACTTCCAGAGTTCCAGACATTTTGTCTTCATACGTATATGTTCAATGGAAGAACGACAGTATCAAAAAAGTTCTTCCTCACAAGGCTCTGCTTTTTATGTTAAGAGGTCTGTTACCTCCGCTTCCCCTCATAATCCAGACTGGGCCACACTTGATCATTCTGAGTCATACTCTGGGTCTTCCACATGATCACTTGTGGACTAGGATGAACTTGAATTCCTTTGGCTGACTTGGCTCCATCATGATACTCCAAGGCTGGGGTAGGAATCTGGTTTTCCTACCATCAAGGGTACCTTGATCCAAGTCCAGAACAAAACTGGTTTCTGTTGGCAGAGCAGTGTCTGCCACAATATGCATACACATACATAAAGTGTGTTTATATTCCACTCAAAAGGTATAAAGACTTCTTGAAGCTCATCTATGAATCTTCTTCTACTCCACATCTATACCAGAAGTCAACTAACTTCTGCCTTAATTCATTTTTTAAATTTAGTTATGGTTTCTGAGTTATTTACTTCATTCATTTAACCAAATCTTATGATATCCTTTCTATGTATAGGTATATAGATTGTGGGGCTAAAAATGAATAAGGCATGCTATCTACCCTTTAGAGACTGACAGGTTCATGGCAGAGGCAGAATGTAAATTATAAATAACCATGCAATAACCAATTTGTAAGAACTACCAGAAACTGTTTTTACCTGGCAGGGCCAACAATACACCTTCACCATCTTGCCTCAGGGCTATATGTCAATTCTCCTGCTCACTGCTCTAAGGTAGTCTACCCAGAACTTGATCATCTTGACAGTCCATAGAACATCATATTGACCCATTACTTTTTTTTTTCTTTTTAAATATATCTTTATTGATTTCAGAGAGAGGAGAGGAGAGGGAGAGAGAGATAGAAACATCAATGAGGAGAAAGTCATTGATCAAGCCCGCAACCGGGCATGTGCCCTGTCCGGGAATCGAACCCTGACTGCCTGGATCCCAGGTCGATGCTTAACCGCTGAGCCACGCCCGGCTGGGCGACCCATTACTTTGATGGCATTGTGCTGATTGCATCTGATGAGAAAATTAGCAAGTACTTTGATGCTTAAACTCTTATGAACTAAAGGGTAAAAGATAATTGCACAACAATTCAGGGCCCCCCCACTCCTTTGCAGTTTCTGGAAGTTCCGTGGACTAGAGAATGTTCCTCTAGATACAGCCGCAGCCTAAATTTAATAAAAATCTATTGGTTTGCTCACTTAACCTAATGATTTAGACTTATTTGCATTATACTATAATTATAGCCAATTAATCCAACATTACATAGGTTACATTAGGAATCTGTTTCTTACAATCCATGAAAGAACAAATAAGACTACTGTTATCCCACAGAAAATTAGAGTATAAATATTTTCCCTTAAGTTACTAGCTCCTTGATAATAGTTCAGTGGGATAATAGGTCAGTGGGTTAAAGTGCCTCTATTCAATAGATACAATTATTTTTTGTATTTTTAAAATTTATTTATTGGAGTGACATTGGTTAATACAATTATATCGATTTCAAGTGTACATTTCTATGATACATTATCTGCATATTGGATTGTGTGCCCACCACCCAAAGTCAGATCTTCTGTCACCATGTATTTGACCCCTTTCACCCTTTATAATCCCAATCCCACCCCCTTTGCCCTCTGGTCGCCACTATACTGTTGTTTGTGTCTATAAGTTTTTTGTTTGTTTGATTTGTTTGTTCATTTGTTGCTTTCAATTTTATATCCCACATATGAGTGAAATCATAAGGTTCTTGACTTTTTCTGTCTGAATTATTTTTCTTAGCATAATATTCTCAAGATCCATCCATGTTGTCGCAAATAATTAATAGTTAAAATTGTGTTTTTAAATTTTTAGTACTTTCAAAATACTTCAATGTTTTCAAAGTTTAATGTTCTTATAGTTTACATTTCACTAGTCCTCAAAAGCACAGGTTGTTTTTAAAAACAGTGAAATATTTTAGAAAAGTTTAAATTATGTTTTCTTATTTGTCATATTTAATTAACTTTGTTGGTTGTTGCCTCAAGAATTGAATTACAGGCATGAAAGCTATGTTCTATTGGAATTCAGCTAAGGGTGAACATTAAAAGTTCATTTTGAATTTTTGGCTCCTCTTAGGTATTTGGATTTGCTCAAGGACTCAAACCTTATTAAAAGTCAGGATGTGTTTACGGTCATCCGATATATCTCATATAACAGCTATGGGAAGAGCATGGCTTGGAACTGGATACAGCTCAACTGGGAATATCTAGTCAACAGGTGGGATGATCAGAAAATGTTTTGTTGTTCTCTTTGTCGGATACTATCTACAATTCTTTCTTTTTCTCTTTACTGTACTTTCACTGACATCTATTCAATATCTGAAATGGCATATTATCAGAGGTAAAGGATCTTGATATTTTCTTTCCAGGGAAGCATAATTTGTTTTTGGAAAGTATTGTTTCCATCTGGTCCATAGAATTCTGAGACCTGGAGAGATGCCTAAATCACATTATTTTTAGTTGGCTTAAAACAATATAATTCTGCCTGTTGTGATAGCACCTAGCATCATACCAGGCACACCTTTAGTTCTCAATTAATATTTAATGAAAACTAAATAAGAATTCTTGGACCTGGGTTCAAATTAGAGCCCTATATCTTACTGAGCATACATGAATGATAACTTTTATCTCCCTTGACCAGATAATTAAACTTTAGATATTCTGAACAGTTCCTAAGAGGAAACTATACTCCCTGGGCAATAACAGTTTAAAAATGGAAAATAGCAAATTAATCAAAGAGGTGCCTTCTCCAGTTTTTTATTTCTTCAGCCCCATACAAAAGAAATATTGTTATTCTTAGTCCTGAATGTCTAAGTTTAATGTGTATTTCCATTAAAAAGATATTTCTTTGACAGAGTATAAAACAGAATATAGATTGTATATCCCAAATAAATGTGAAAGCATTGACCAAAAGAAATTGGCCATCTGTAATCTCCACACCAGGAAATAGCCTCTGCTGTCCCCTCTGGTCATTTCTGTCTTCCCAGCAGCCCTGCCTAATTGACCGCCTTATCAGAAATGCTAACTATGATGATAACTTTGATTTATATTCTCTTTGCTACCCTACAATTCACCAGAGTGCCATTATGATGATTCACATTTCTCATCCTTCTGAGATCCGGATTAAATCTCTAGCTTGCAACCGAGACTACATTGCTTTTGGCCTATTTGTGATAATATTTTGCCTTCTCTGTTCTTGCAGTGGTTCATTGTAATGGCTCATCCATCTCTGTAAAGATTGATTGATGCACATGCATGAGCACCTGATGCTTTGTTCATCTGTTTATAGTTGTTTCAAGAAAATGATTGGTTTAGAATTAATAAATCTACCTATTCAGAACATGTTGTTATCTGGAGGTAGCAGTACATATTATGCAAGTTAATACCTTCCATTTTGAAAGATATATGCGCACTGAGAAATACTGTGTATTTTGTTTTAATTGAAAAGGCTATAAAACTTTTTTTGGTATATGTTGCAAGAAACCTGTGTAGATGAAGAATAATGCTTACTTTTGAACTATTGTGAAAAGACAAGTAAATAATGTTAATTTTGTAAATTGTTTATTAAGTAGAGTATTTCTCAAGGTCTATTTAAATAGCCCTAGTGTAATTTATTTCAAATAAGAAATTTTTCATTTTAAAAAATTAATTCATTGTTATTCCTCTTAAAAAATTAAGAAGTAGAAAAAAATCAGGTGTTATGTTGTCATCTGACCTTAAAATAAATCTATTAGACATAATACTGAATTTTTTTCAAGAAAAAGAAATTGATAAACTATTTCCAGTGCTAGTTCCAAAACCCTCACCCAAAGCTTTTAATCTTTCTTCATAGTCTAGTGATCTAATTCTCATTGGCTATTATTTCAAATAGCCTCAAGCATAACGTTACATAATAAACACATGTCAGACACACACACACACAAAATGTCCAATGTTAATTATGGCTAGTTTGAATAAATAAAATTTTCCCATTAAAATTGGATAGGAAAAATTAAACAGAAATGAGCCGAGTTTTATCCAAATATTTCAAAACTCTTGAACATTTTCCAGACTTCAAAATGAGTGGTTTTACTGCCTCCATTTATGAACAATTTATTGTCATTCTGAAATAGACTGCTTTTTTTTTTACCAAAGTTTTTGTCATGTGATTTTTATCACAATTGATGGCTACACCATAATGTCCTATCCAGTCTAAGACTTAACCACAAAGTTCCAAAGATACTTCAGAATTTATTCTTTTATTTTATTTATTCCACTAAACTCTTACATGAAACTGGGAAGTTGGATGAACCCAATAAATCAATAGTGTGGTATGATTAAGTTTGGTTTTAATTTATGACTATAGCTGAAATATTAAGTCAATGGAATATGACTAAAAGCACTAAACACTACCTCATAAGCAAAATAATTTAATAAAAGTTTTGTGTGCATCAAAATCATGAGAAACATAATACTTATGTAAATACTAAGTCCAAGAAGATTATTTTTATATATTTCAAAATACTTAAGATATAATTAAATTCTTATTTTAGTTTAAAGGTAATCAATATGATAAATATATAACATATTTCTCCTTAAATGCTACACTTTATGTGATACTGGTTTCTTGGGAATGAACATATTTTGTTCTTACACTTCTAATATTCATACAGGTAGCTGTAGTTTTTATTCAACCTATTCATCATTAGTTCTCAAACATATCCTTTAATTTTTAGTTTCTAAGAACAAAACACAAGAGATGTATTACTGAAATTATAGAAGGTTACTGATAAAAATGTTTTCTTATCTGTAATCAGCAGACTTTCTTTTATTTTGTAGAATAGCATGATGGCAACTTAGTGTGGTTTCCTTTTTTAAATCCCCATTTTCTTTTTTTTCTTTTTTTTCTATTTATTTATTTATTTATTATTTATTTATGACACTATTACAGATGCCCCCCATTTCCCCCATTACCTACTTCCACCCAGCCCCTCTCCCTTGGCCTTCACCACACTGTGGTCAGTGTCCATGGGTTATGCATATATGTTCTTTGGCTAATCTCTTCACCTTCTTTCATCCAGTCCCCACCCCCACCCCCTAAATCCCCATTTTCTTATTATGAGTATATGTTGTTTTGCACAAAATGCAGATAAGTGAAAATAAGGATATGAAAATCACCCGTAATTCCACCACCTAGAAATAACCTCTGTTGTCACACTATCATTTGTCCTTGAGTCATTTTTTATGGCTGATTATTTATTTATTTACAGATACAGAATCATATTATACAAATGGTTTTATAAGATTTTTTTTATATCATCCTATATTGTAGATGCCTCTTCATGTCTTGAAGTATGCCTTTTTCAATGTTATTTTTAATGTTCAATTGTATTGGGGTATGTAGGCACATCTTAGTTTATTTAGTCAGTCTCCATCTGTTGGATAACAGAATTGTTCTACACTTTCCAGTATATAAATAATGTATTGATGGACATCTTTGAAACTGAATCTCTTTATTCTTTTTGAATGTCCTTGACAATTTCCTCAAGATACAAATAATACTAGAAGTAACATAGAATTGTTTCCCAGAAAAATGTTTCCTAATAATTTGACCTATTTTTCTAATCCTTGCCAATAGCCAGTGTTGTCATTTTGAAATACTCTTGCTAACTGAGTACATGAAACCTGATATCTCATTTTTAATTATAATTCTTTCACCCGGTAAACCCCATCAGGGTTGATTATGTGCTGAGCACTATGCTTAGCATTAAAGACACAATGTAAAGAGAATCAAACCTGGCTCCCTGTTCTCATGAATCTTAGCATTTAGTGATAGAGACCAATATTAACTAAAGAAACACACAAATGCACGGATAATTTAAATTGTAATAATTACAAACAGAAGAGGCTCAGGGCGCACTGAAAGGGTACAAAGGGAAAGCTGACCAAGTCAAGAGAAGCTGGAGGTTAAGGGCTTCCCTGGGGAAGTGATGGTTGCATTGAACTCTGAAGGAAGCGCAGGAGTTAAGCAGGTGAACAGAGGGGGCGCCTCCCTGGCTGAATGCTCACTATCAGGAAGGGGGAGAGAAAGCACAGGCCTAGATGGGAGCCGGAGCGAAGCTGGGAAAGCAGTTAGAGAGGTATTGCAGTAGCTTCAGCAAAAGATAATAGTAGATTAGACTGTGGATATAATGATGAAGACAAAGACATAAGAACAACATTTAGATTTGGGTAGCAGATTAGAAATGAGAGACAAAAGTGAGGTGTCAAAGATAATGCCTAGATTTTTAGAAAAGATAAAATTGACCGCAGGAGAATAATGAGTTTGGTTTGTTATATATGATGCTTTCGTTTTCTTAATCCTCTGCTGAGGATATGTCTTTATTGATTTGAGAGAGAGAGAAGGAGAGAGAGAGAGGAAGAAACATTGATATGAGAGAACCGTCAACTGGTTNCTGAGAGAGAGAGAAAGAGGGAGAGAGAGAGAGGAAGAAACATTGATATGAGAGAACCGTCAACTGGTTACCTCTCACATGCACCCCGACTGGGGATGGAGCTCAAAACTTGGGTATATGCCCTGACCAGAGTTGAACCCTCAACCTTTGCTATGTGGGATGACACTCCAACCAACCGAGTCACCCGGCCAGGGCTTCTATGTGATGCTTTTGATTCTCTTTTGAGATGTCAAGTAAAGATGTTTCATATAGTTCCTTATCAAAGGCTACTTAAAGTTTGAATAAATTGAAGACTAAAAAAAATGCTCATTACATTTATTGTCATAAAAGCTATTATAACTCTAGAAAGAGTTTTTCAGTGGAATTATGGGAGAAGAACCCAGATTAAAAGAAAAAAGATGAATGAGTTAAGTGAGGAGATAGAGACAAGAACTGTAGAGAAATATCTTGAAAAGTTTGACTACAAATGGGGAGGTGAGAGAAAGGAAATTGAGAGAGATGCCAGATCAAAGGAAAGGGTGCATTTTAAAATATGGAATTTTAGGATGTTTAATATATTTAAAAGCTGATAAGAAAGGTCCAGTGAAGAAAGAGAGATATAATATGTAAGACAGAAAAAATATTTTTTTAAATAGAGTTTTTAAGAAGGGGGGCAAAAGTAGGAAACACTGCACAGGTGATAGGAGGAAAACAGGCATATTTGTATATTTACAGGCTAAAAGATATAGGAGTTATTGTATATTTCCTCTGTGAAGCAGATGGCAAGGTCATCTTTGTTGGGAGGAAGGAAAGAAGAGGAGTGTTTGGAGGTTGGAAGAGAGTGAAAACATTTCAAGAAGGCAACTCAAAGAGGAAGAAAATTAATTGGGCAGAGTAATGTAGGAGGACTGTCACAGTGGAGAGCTTATTTAAGATACATATCCGCTAAGGTATAGTGAGACATTTTGGAGAAGCTGGGTGACCTCCCTTGATAGAACTTGGCATTTGGTGCAAACACAGAGAAAATGGCTATTGATTTCATCCAAAGTTGGAGTTTTCACTAGACACAAATTTTAAGAGAGTTTAGGGTTTAGGCAAAAATGTTACTGAAAATGGTAGACTGTGAAATCTAAACTGTATAAGGAAATAAGCAAAAGAAAAGGAAGAGCTGATGGTTCAGGAGAAAGTAGGGGTAAGGATGGCCAATGGGCCAGAAATCCAGATAAAGTGAAGGAACAGTTGGAGTGGAGACTGAAAGGTAAACTATGCCATGGAGGGTGCATAAGCAAGTCATTTTAGTGGGAAAGTACTTATGGATGATCAAAAGGTATGGCGAGGGGAACGGGTGGCTGAAGTAGTGAGGAAAAAGTATCACTAGAAATGAAGAGGTCAAGAAACTGAGGAGCTAAGATGTTACATCAATCACCCATGTGGACCTTGGAATTGCCCAGCATGGTGGAATGGCCGGGAGCCAGGTGCCAGCTTATCATAAATCAGTCAGGAGGAATAACTTGAGGGAATGTAGGCTTTTATCTATTTTAATTTTGATTTAATCTTTTATTTTATTTATTCTATTTATTTATATATATATATCTTTATTGATTTCAGAGAGAGGAAAGGAGAGGGAGAGAGAGATAAAAACACCAATGATGAGAGAGTCATTGGAGATCAAGCCCTCAACCCAGGCATGTGCCCTGACCGGGAATCGAACCTCTGTCTCCTGGATCCTAGGTTGACAGTCAACCGCTGAGCCACGCCTGGCCAGGCGATTTAATTTTATTTACTATTTTTAATTATTTTATTTTTTCATCACCATTTATTCTCTCTATACCCTCTTCCACCTCCACGCATTCCCCTCCACCCCTGCAAACACCACACTGTTGTCTTTTTCTTTTTTGCTCAATTGCCCTCCACCCCCTCCCCAGCTGTCTGCCTGCTCTCTATCTATGAGTCTGTCTCAGGACTGCTTTCATTGTCTCACATAGATTTGGGGCTGTTGTGAGTTCATTTTCATTTATATCCAGAAAGTTTTTTGTTTCTTTCTTGATCTCTTTGGTAACCCATTCATTGTTAACATGCTATTTAGCTTCCATGTGTTTAAATTTTTTTTTAGTGTTTTTATTGTAGTTGATTTCTAATTTTATGCCACTGTAGTCCAAGAAGATGCTTGATATAAGTCTTCCTGAATTTGTAGAGACTTGTTTTGTGTCCTAACATGTAGTCTCTTTTTGAGAATATCCTGTGTGCACTTGAGAAGAATGTATATTCTGCAACTTTGGGGTGGAATGTTCTGTAAATGTCAATTAAATCCATCTGATCTAGTGTGTCATTTAGGGTCACTGTTTCCATGATGATTTTTTGTCTAGAAGACCTATCCAGTGAAATCAGTGGGGTGTTAAATTCCCACTGATTGTATTGCTGTCGCTCTCTCCCTTAAAGTCCTCTAGAAGTTTTTTTTATAAATTTAGGTGCTCCTGTATTGGGTGCATATATGTTGATCAGGGTTATATCCTCTTGTTGGATCAATCACTTTAGTATTATGTAGTGACCTTTCTTGTTATGGTCTTCTATTTTGTCTGATACAAGTATTGATACCCCAGCTTTTTTTTTTCATTTCCTGTGTGAGTCTTTTGTTCTGAGATGGGTCCCTTGTAGACAGCATGTATTTGAGTTTTGTTTTACTTATCCACTCAGCCACCCTATGTCTTTTTATTGGAGCATTTGATCCATTTATATATAAGGTTATTATTCATAGATACTTATCTATTGCATTTTAATTCTTTATGCCTATGTTTCTCTCTAATTCTACTTCTAATTACAGCAGTCCCTTTAACATTTCCTGCAGTGATAGTTTGGTGGTGATAAACTCCTTTAGCCCTTTTTTGGTCTGGGAAGCTCTTTATTTCACCATCTATTTTGAATGATAGTTTTGCATTACCTTGAGTACTTCACGCCATTTCCTTCTGGCCTATAGAGTGTCTGATGAGAAGTCAACTGACAGCCTTATGGGAGTTCCTTTGTGGGTAATAGATTGCTTTTCTCTTGCTGCCTTTAAGATTCTCTCTTTGTCTTGAATTTTTGGCATTTCAATTGTGATGTGTCTGGGTGTGGGCTTCTTTGGGTTCTTCTTGCTTGAGACTTTCTGTGTTTCCTGAACTTGTGTGACTTTTTCCTTGACTAGGTTAGGGAAGTTTTCTGCCATTATTTCTTCAAACAGGTTTTCTAATCCTTGCTTACTTTCAACCTCCTCTGTCATTCCTATGATGTGGATATTGTTATTTTTCATTTCATGTTGTCCCTTAGCTCCCTTAGACTGTCCTCCTGTTTTTTAATTGTTTATCCTTTTTCCTGATTCAGTGATTTTTTTTCTACCCTGTCTTGTAATTCACTGATTGGATCCTCAGCTTCCTCTAATCTGCTGTTTATTCCTCCCAATTCATTCTGTATACTGATATGCCCTTTTATTGCCCTAAATATCTCTTCAGATTCACACTCAATGACAGAAGCCTTGGCCGGATTGTCACGATAGCGGAGCCATTCAACACTGAACTCCAGCTCTGGCAGGTATGCAGAATGATTTCTCTATACTTGTCTGAGAAATGACTAAACTTTTCTAAAAAACACAGATGGTATTTTCTTTATTCAGATCAGAGAAGACAAGGAGAAAGGAGTAATTCCTGTATCTAATTAAATGTATACCTATTCTTTCTAAACTAAAAAAAAAAAAAAATCAAATAAGCAAGAAACAGATAAACAAACTTTAAAATCTGAGAAAGGTGAGCTTTAAAAATCTGCATGAGACTGCTCAGCTTGCAACACACAAACAGTATGTCTCTCTTTTCCTGGTAAATGTTACCCTGGAATAAGTTGGTCAAGACGTGATTCCTTTCAGAATTCATAGTTTTGGAATTTCAAAACTTAACCCAAATCTTTTAGGTTTCACACATCTCAATTGCCAGAGGGAAAAATGTATATTAACGTTGGACACATTGTATGGCTTTTCAATATCTGTGTATTAGATATTAGAATACTAACATTCTTCTTTATACTAAGAAACAAAATAATTCTTATTTCTGTAAATAGCAAATAATACTATGGTTGAGTTTTGGAGGAAACTGGGGGGATAGAACCAAGTTTAACAAAATTTTTTTTGAGTCCTTAATAAGTGAACTGAGAGTAGATTAAATGCTCCTGACCCCTGGAATGAAAGACTAAGCAAAGCCATCATCCTGCAGATCAGATTTTCCTAGGACTGTCCTAAGGCGTGCACAGAACACAGAGAAATGAACAGACGCAGGAATGGGCGTGTCAGCTGCTAGCATGCTGCCGTCCTTCCCCAATATGTTAGAGTATATCGTGGCTTGCCATGCTGTCGGGTGTCCGAAAGCCATGGATATTCATGGCCATGCTGAGAGATGGGCTCGATCTAAATGATGCCCCAAAAGATGCATCTCAATGTTGTGTAGTGATACAGAATTTCCAGGGAAGGAGGAAACACATCCAGTTCTGTAAATGAAATTCTAGAGTAACTGAGCTTAAAATAACTTTTAAAAATTATTTTCCTCTCTTTTATAGATGGAGAGTTTTTTCAAAAGATACCCAGAAGCTGGAGCAGGAGAAAAACCGAGGGAGCAAGTGCTGGAAACCGTGAAAAACAATATTGAATGGCTAAAGCAAAATAGAGAGAGCATAAGAGAATGGTTTTTGGGATTACGTCGGAATGGTTAATGTGTTCAAGTAGCATTTTAATTTTGTAATCTGTTGTTTCTACTATTAAGCATTTGGTGACCTAATTTACAAGCACTGTGGAAGGAACCTTATACACAGATACTGCTTTTGCTAAGTATTATGTTTTGCAAAGTTTTATATTGTCCGCCTTTGTTTATGAGGGAAGATGCTAATAGGCTAGTTAACATACTCAGGGATTTCTTCTAAGTGTACTTCATAGGAGATTCTTTACAAACTGAAGAGAATTTAATAGCCATTTTAAATGTCTTTAAATATCATTCTTTGTATCTTAAATCTGTGAAAATAGAACAGTTTGGTCTTAGCTTTACATTTTTAGTACCAAAGAAACACCACGAATCTTTTCTCTTGATTGATTTTTAAAGTTTGAATAACAGTGCTTGAGGGGGACCAATATTACCATCTTAATTTTTATTTTATGATTCAGAATTATACAGGTCTAATACCATTTTATTCACATATGTCTTATTCTTGTAAATCTTACCAAAGTAACGGGGCTTATATTTTACTCAAGGATTGCATGAATTAGCCAAAGAAATGGCTAACTGTTGCCTTTGCTCTTATAAAATCAATAAGAGAACTATCCACTCCTTTTTCAAAATAAATCTGAATGATAACCTTGAAAAAATGCATATTGTTTTTCAGTGTCACTTTACTCTTGAATAATAACTGCCGTGTCCCCCAAATAACACAGCGCAATGCAACTATGGTTCAAGAACTCAGCTTTTTCATGCTTGTACTGCACCAACTTGTTCCATTCCCTGCAAAGCTCCCTCAAATATGCTATGAAATTAGAGAGAAGATAGTGCTGAACTCTGCTCCATGGATTTTAGAGGAAAAAGGCGAAATAATTGGAAACTGGTCAGGAAGAAGCAGAGGCTGATTATGCTATAAAACTAAATGGAATTAGAATTTAGCTTCAACCTAACCTAGCAATCTAAGTGTGAAAATGAGGAAACCCATGGACGTCTCCAGCATGACTCTGCATATCTGAGGATATATCTTCTTATAGGAACATTTACGTATAAAGCCCTATCCTAATCCATACGGAGTAGCACGGGTCAAATTTATACCCGTGACTTGATTAAAGACATCAGTTATGTTTAATATGCTACTTGATGCCTAGTTGATCCACAATTTAAGTCCAATAAGCAGAAAAGATGGTAAATTACTATGTTCTAATCTGCTATCTCTAGAAAATCTAAATTTATTTGGAACCTTCAGAAGTATAAGATAATTGGCGGCTGGCTTGATGGTAGTTGAAGCAAATAAAAACTATCAAAATCTGAGCTTTGGCTTTATTTAATAACAGGCCCTAACTGAGTTCTCTCAAACTTCCTAAACTTTCTCACTGCTGTCTCTTACCATTTCTCAATCCACACAGCTAAACTGAAATATTCAAATGAAGATTGGGAAGAAATTAAAAGACAAGAAGAAATTTCTAGACCAAAACTTTAAAAATGTTATTTTAAATTTTTTTCAGAAGAGAAAACACATCAACACCATAAATTGTCAGGAAAACTATAGCATGCTCATGGGGATTTAGACTCAAGGATTTAGGATGGCTTACCTTTTTGCTTTATGTAATAAATGAATTTTTTAAGAAAAAATATAAGATGGTAAGTAAAACCGATATCAACTTATCTATAAGCCATTCTGTTCTATTCTATTTTAAGCACTAAAACTGAGAATGAACTGGTTAGTTGTGCACACTTTGCCATAATCACTTTACTGGCCCATCAGGCCCTTCTCAAACAGTGTCTAGTTTTTAAAAGGCAGATGACCAATAGATAGACTTGTGCCAAGCACAACTTGCTACTGTACGGACTTGGTTTGGCCACAGTTTTCACAGGGGAATAAATTAGTATGTTGATTCCAAAATTAAACCACAGTAAAACCATCAACTTTAAAAATATAACTGGAAAAAATGACCGGCAAGGTCATGTAGCAAGAAGCAGGGCCAATGTTACTGCCTTCCCTCTAGGCAGCCTACTCCTGTGTTTTAGATCATTGCTGTGCACCACATAAAACAAACCAGAAGCTTAAATAATAAACCATGAATGTAAATGTGACAAGCAAGGAAGGTCTGGAAAGCAGAGATATACAGCTTGGTCTGAAGGCGATGGTATTCCTACAGTTTACCTTCCGTGCTGGTGAAGTATTAGTTCAAAATAGATAAATATGAGATGGAAACAAAAATCTCAGGAACAGTAATTCTCAAAGGAGGTTAGGAACAAGGAAGGAACAAAAGGAAAGGGAGTAGAATTACTGATAGAGTTTTCCAAAACATTGCTAAATAACAACAACAACAATAATAATAATAATAGCAAACACTTTTTTACTTACCAGGTACTGTTCTAAACACTAGCACTCCATATGCATTAATTTTTATATTTAAACATTACAAAAACCCCATGAGGTGGTAGTGTTAGTATCCCTAATTTACAGATGGAGAAACAGAGAAGTTACAGAACTTGCCCAGGGCCATTAAAGTAGTATCTGGCACCAGCCAGGATTTGAACTCAGGGCGTTTATCACCAGAACCTATGTCCTTAACCACTATGTTAGAGTAGAAACGCGCACATTAAAATTAGAGGGATCTGGGTTTGAATTTCAGTTACTTGGAAGTCCAGTGCCCTTAATCTCTTCATTGTTCCGTTTCCTCATCTATAAAGTGGGGATAAAAATAACAACTAACTCAGTGGGTTATGCAAATTAAATGCAAAAATGCATGTAAGGGATGCATGTGTGGGAAACGACCATTCCATAAACATTAGATATGTTAAAATCAAAACAAACGGAGACCAGCCTTGAAAACTCCCTGAGCAGACAAAACCCGGTTAGCTGTACAAGCAAAGCTTAATTTACCTTCGTTTTCAAGACTAACTTGACCTGGGTCATTTCTTGTTTATACCTCTGGAAATCATAAACTAAACAGTGCTCTCCAAGGTTGCTATGAGGTAATCGCTAACCAATTCCCTATCGTGTAAGAACATTCTAATATTATAACCCACCACTCTGAGAAATAAACAGACACTTGCCTTCTCACTCTATAAGCTGCTTTATAGCAACCTACCCCGGAGCCTCATTCCATGTTTTGGTTTGAGTGCTCCCAGTTCTCGAACTGTCTTTTTGGTGTGTGCACAATAAATTTTTACTAATTACTACTTTGGCGGTTGATCGGTTTTACTTTGGCTATTTCTGAACGTTTGACAGGTGCTGTTATTGTTGCTCTTATGATATCCCCCAGTTCCCACTTAAGACAGTGGTTTGGAGAATATAATAAACTTGGTTCAGGAATAACCCAACCTAAGCAACGGAAGGCACTAAGGAGAGACGATGTGATCGTTCCCAAATCGTCACTCCCCTCCCTGGGAAGGATTCCATTATGTCACCCGATTGAAGTCCAGCATGGGCATGTGACCTGCTTGGGCTAGTGAAATAGTGAAAGTGAAGTATGTGGATCTCAGGCAGAAATGTTCAGAGCCCCGCACGCTTTGCCACGCTCTCCATTCCCTTCTGCCCGAGACCCAGCAGTGCTCCAGCTGAGGCTGCTCATTCAGCCTGAACTCAGGATGCAAACAGCACGGAGCGAGCGCCACCAGCGCAGGGCACAGGCGCGGTGAGTGAGACATGCCTTCCTCACCGTAACTCGCCGAGCTTTTGAGGTTCTCTGTTACCTCAGCACCGTGTAGCCTCCCTTGTCGGATATAAACCCCAAACGAACTGCTCTACTGTAGTTGTTTGTTTCCAGTTCTCATTCCTCGCTTTCCTCTATCAGGGGTTAACAAACGTTGCCTGCTTATCCTTTGTAAGACCTGCAAGCTCAAAACAGTTTTTACATTTTAAAATGGTTGAAAAAAAGAAAAAGAAAAAAATAAATAGTTCATAGCATGTGAAAATTATATGAAATTTAAATGTCAGTGTCAAAGTTTTATTGGAACACAGCCCCACACATTCATCGGTGTATTGATTCTGGCCAGTGTCCTGCTGCAGCAGCGGTGCTGAGTGGTCTCGGTAGAAATATGGTCCGCAAAGCCTGAAATATTTACTATCTGGGTCTTTTACAGAAAATGTTTGCCGACCCCTGCTGGATCGCATCTTCTCTTATTTTACATTCATGCCCCCCCCCCCC